ATATAGCTATTATCTATACATTTTTTATATTAATATCATTATGCGTCCCTGTTTATCTCTAGATCCCTCGGTTTAGATGGCTAAAATAATAAATCTAGAATAAATAATCATTTGTTAAAATATTATATTTATTATAATGAATAATTATTATTCAAAACTAATTTTAAAAAAATCAAAAAAAAGTGAGTTTGGTTAATTATATTTATTAAATTGTTTTGTTACAATTATAACTAATTGTAATTTAAATATATTTATATTAATTAACCTTTAATTTTACTAAAAATTTTATCATTTTGATTTTTCTAGGATTCTCAAAATAGTTTTTATTGCATATGTCATGGTATTGGTGTTCAAAGATAAATAAAATAAAATAAAACAAACAAAAATAGAAATAATACCAATATAAAAATAATAATAATGAATAAATAAAATAAATAAACTAAAATATTAGTGATTACAATAACTAAAAGTAGGTACTGAGTGCTATAAGCCAATGGTAAGATTACGTAGCCAATCTAATGTTTCCTGATCGCCATTGTGTGTCCCCCGTGTCCTTAATCATTTTTCTTTGCTAAAATGAGTAAAATTCAAAATATCCATGTCCTCTAGCCTCCTTTTTCTCCGTTCTTCATCTAGTAGTCTAATCAATTTATTTGCAGTGACCTATCTTCCATCCTTTTCATACTTATTAAGTAAAGTCTCACATTTTTTCGTGCAACAGGAAGTATAGCTATGTAATGCCCTCTAGATATTATTTTTTTAGCCGCAGTNATAGCTATGTAATGCCCTCTAGATATTATTTTTTTAGCCGCAGTCTATATGAATTTTACAAATTTAATTTAATTTACCATTTCTAGTTTTATTCGTTTTATATCACTACTAGACAGGAATGATCTCGGTAAAGTATAACACAAACCCATCAAAATAGTTGTGGTTACTTAAATAACCATGGCATTTACAATGACAGGATCATTTTTTGTTTTGAAACATTCATACACACATACAGGGATACTAAAATAACAAACAAATCATACATTTTACATTATGCAAGTAGAATTATATTTAAGTAATAAATTTATTCCTACAGTTTTATTTTACCCAGTTATTTTTTTCTGTATTTAAGGTGAGAAATCGACGAGGCTTAGCTTCTATAATTTTTCCTGACATCCGTGAATGGGACTTCTTTCACATACTGCCTTATACCATGAATTATTCGATTCTTTTTTTATCTAAAAGTAACGAATATGGGTTTTCCTAAAAAATATTATTATCTTTCCCCAACTATGGAATAACGAAAGCTATTATAAAACTTTGTAACCAAAATTAATGTAAAAGAAATGATTTCCTTATGAATTAATAGATATAAAGTGACACTTAATAATATTTAAAAGAGAAAGATGAAAAATTACCTTAGCGTACTAAATACATGAATGTTTAAAAATTACATAATATATGCTAGATACAAATTTCTAACCATAACGATTGTTAGTATTAATGAGTAACAAATTATACCACAAAAGGCTTGCATTTTAGTTAGGATGTGTTATTATGTATAATTGATTTTAAGAAATACTGAATTCCGTCATTTTTCATAATTTGTCTAACTTACCTATTTTGGTATAAGAGGGTAATACCAGTAACATAATTAGGGTTTATCTGAGGCGTATATAAATGAAAAAATATATATCTTCCACATGTAAATAACTCATAAGGGTTAATTAATAATTCTGAGGATCTATTCAACTAACCACTCCTTAAATAGGTACTACGAGCTGCTATTGTAATAGTACGAACTTATAGCTCTTTCTACTACAAATATTTGTAATTTAAGTTTAAGGTTTAATCGTGAAATAAAATAATAAATTATTATATTATTATATAATATAATATAACACTTATATACTTTTTTTAATGTAAAAAAGAATTTAGCTTAACGGATAAAACTCTGGACTACATAACTGAATGTTTTTGGCAATGTTCATCTTGCTATCAATGTAATGATAATTTTAAATAACTAGGTTAGTATGAAGAACTTAGATGTAACAAAATAACATTTATAAAATATTTATTTAATATTTAAATAAGAAAAATAAATGTTTTCTTGTGATTTTAATTTTAATGAAACCTGAAAAATCACCAACAATGTTGCTACTAACGCTAATAATACTATAACAACTTTTAATAATTATAAATAATAACTATTGAAATTTTAGATGATTGCTCAGGTTTCAATAAAAATTAAATCACAATTTAAGTAATTATTACTTTGAAAATATACCTGAGTGAACATTTTCACTAACTTAAAAAAAATTTGTATATTTTAATTTATTTATATTAAATATATTTAACATATATATACATATATTTATTTAAGTTATTATTCAGATAGCAATTATAAATGTTAATATTAAATGTAAGTTTTTGTAAATTTAACATAATTTTTATTTTTGTAGATTGTATTAACTTCTTATTAATTCGTATTTTAAAAGTTATAAGTAACTAGTTTTAAAAAAATATACTCTATGATTATTATTTTAACGTTATATATTTTTTTACTTTAATTTTCACTAAACGTTTTATGATACAAGATAGGTGCAAGTAATAAGGCTTAGTTTGTATTAGGCATTATTACCTGCACCTACCATATGTCATAAAGCGTGTAGAATCCCGATAAAAATATTAATCTTGTTAAATTTTGTAGTACAAAATGAATGCTTTGGATGTACAGCATACTTAAAGATGTCAATAAAACTTCCAAACGTATTCTATCATTCTATAAAAATAACGCATTAAAAGTATTTCAAGCTATTAAATTTATAAATAATTAAAATATCGAAAATATACTTCAAATAATATAAGAAGTCATAGTGCTCTATTCATTAAAATCTTCTCAAATACTTACAAAAGAAATTTTAGTAATAATTTTTAAACATATCTCTGAAATTATTTTTATCTTGTAAATAATTTAGTAGGTTATAATAAATATATCACTCTGTATATATTATTACACGATAATGGTCCACGATTTTTTGACAAATCTTATACATTTCGATGCGGATAACATTGTTATCTTAGCAGAATCTGAACATGACATGAATATGCTAAAAATGCTATTAATTGCACTTGATAAATTTAAAATGAAAATAAATTCCATGAAACCTAAAACAATGCTTATAAGTAAAATTCATTTAGATCTAAATCTTAATATACAAATGAACAATACACGATTACAGTAGGTTCGAGAATTCTTCTACTTTGGAAGTATCATAGCTTCAAATAACAAATCAATACCAGACCACCTGAAGAAGAATAGCATTGGCAAAGCAAGCATTCCAAAACAAGAATGAGCTTCTCACCAATAATCATCTGAGCATTGGAATACGTAATAGATTTGAAAAAACATTTGTCTGGAGTGTGCTTTTATATGGCAGTGAAACATGGACAATTGATAAGAAAGACAGAACCATTAGATTTATGGATATGGAAAAAAATGACAAAGACAAAATGGATACACAAGAAAAGAAATGAGCAAGTGCTAGAAGAAAGATCCCTGATGAAGATGATTGAATCAAGAAAAATAAAGTTAATCGGACACATCATATGACACAATGATTTCATAATCAACATCTTCAAAATAAAAATAACTGGGAAGAAACCAAAGTGACACCCGAGGAAACAATATTTTAAATATATCCTGGAACTCATGAACTGTTCGTTTTTTTGTTTCACTGAAGAATTTGGCACCAAACAGAGAGGTGTGGCTTCAACAACACGGCATTGCCTTTAATAGGTGATGATGACTTACTTTACAATATACTGAATAACAGTTTATCATAAACCACTATAATATACAACAATTTGATTGATCTAAATGATTTAGATAAAATGTCATATTTCATACTCAAATTATAAGCACGATTTAAAACCAACATATGTTTACATTTAATTTATTTATGAAAAATTTATGATGTAATTATTTTTTTGGTATCTTTGAATTCATTGAGTTTTAGCTAATATAAAAATATATAAAGTGATCTTCTTTTTTTTCCTCACCTTTTTTTATAACTACGTGGTATCGGCTACCCTTATCTTGAACTTCAACTTGACATGATCTCCCATATCATCTACGCACACATCAGTCATCCTCAAATCGCATTCAATAGCATCCCTTCGTGTCTTTCTTGATCTTCCTCTACCTCTTCTTCCTTCAACATTCATTTCTATAACTGTTCTTACAGATTCCGATTCCTCTCTCCTCATAACATGACCAAACTATCTAAGTCTCTCATCTTATCCACGATTGACGCTACACCTATACTTCCTCTTATATGCTCGTTCCTTATCCTATCTTCTCTAGTCACTTCACTCATCCATCCAAGCATTCTCATGTCTGCATAATTGTATGTAATTATGTAATTACTACAGTAATAAAAAACTTATAATATATTAATATCGAAATTACTTTATACTTTCTCAGCTATTTACTACAATGCTTTTTATGAAAATCTAATGAAAAATCAAAGTACAAGAAAAGTTTAATCGATACCATCTACGTATGTAAAACTTGTTTTTCAATTCAATTTTTTAAAATTTTTTAAAATTTTCCAAAACATCCGACAATTTTTAATCTAAATAAAAATAAAGCTCTTGAAGTGTTACATAATAGTGACCTTATTTGTCGGTACTTTTATCTTAAATGTAATGTTATTACGGTCGATGAATGGGCTGGTTCTACTACCCCTGATACGATACTGTTTAAAAATAGCAATAATTTAATGGGACGTTTAAATCAAAGAATATATAATATATTTCCTGTTTAAAGAATGAAATATTATTTTCGTTAAGTAATAAGTGCTCATTAAGTATATTGAATACCAAGGGTACTAGGTAGAAAAAATAAACCATTACACTGGTTACTCTTTTTTTATAGAAACCAAATGTAGTTCTGTTGTATGATAACAATTATTTGCGCCTTTTTAATACATTATTATTAGGAAGGGTCAAACGCTATCAGTAGTAAATTTGAATAGTAATTAAGTGAAATATAGTAATTGAGGTATTATATTTTACTGTGCCTAGTACAGATATTATAACTGATAATTAAATTTTTTAATTAAATCAATGCTTTTATGTATAATCATTTGAACTCACTAGTATTTATTATCATTGATCATTATTAAGTACTCAAGATTTGTTATTTCGAATACGTAAGTTTTATAATTGAGCTGAAAAAGAATAATATTGTGCATATTTTTTTACATTTATCAATATTATTTGACATTTCATTATATTATTATTAACTTGGATGTTTTATGAATTATCAAATAATATTAAATGATTAGTTAATTGTTGAAATATTATACCCCCAAAAATTTTTTTCGATGTAGAATGTTAAAAATTTTAAAATCAGTTCTTATTGTGTTCTTATTATCCATATTGTGATTATATTAGAGACATCTCATCATTTTAAAATAAAAATTATTAAAGGAGTGTTTATTATACTAGTTATAGTTTGAATCTATTGATATTTAACAAACAACAGAATTGTATTTTGAACGATTGTAATGGGTTAAGTATTGATAGTACTGTACACTATAAGTGAACTGGAATAGAATGCTTATTAAATAAACATTTCAAAAATATCATTTCATCTTCATCTTCATCAAAAAAAAAGTGACTTGTACTATATATAGAATTTGTATCGTAACTATAAATATATAAACTAAACTGAATACAACTTGCCTAATGCTAATCATCATCTTTACTAATAAACTTTGTTTATACTTGGATGTACCTATAACATGCAAAGATTTATTGTAAGACTTATCGTATGTTAAACATGTCATAGTCTTTGTTCTATTACATGGTTCAACTTTTCTTTGTAATTTCATTCAAAACTTACATAGTCATTTGTAAACTTTTAACTATAATGTTTAATTAAGAGTATGAAAACTGACAGCATTATTTAAACAGTCATTCAGTAGCTTCAAGTTCTTGATAATGAATCAAAATTCTGAATATAAACTATACTCTCCAACAAATAACAAAATATAGAATAATTCTATCGAAACTTTAATAAAATAATTTTTTTTAATCTAGTTGAATTTCAATATTTGTTTTGTCAATTTTTAACTGGCTATATTTTTCAAAAAATGAGAAATGTTAATATTTATTGTATACTCATAGTACTAAGTTTTCAAAATAGTAATTGTGTTTTTATAATTTAAAATCTTAAAATTATTATGCTTTGAATAGTATATGTACCAGATTTTGTAATCATATTCAAGAGTTTGAGCAAGAACTAGATTCATTAGTGCTATGTTAAATAATTTTTTAATTATATTTATAATTTTTATTTTCAATATAAGAAATTATTTTGGAAACATTAAGAAAATATTTTTAAAAATTGATTTTTTTTTAAGTCTATCAATTTTTGAAAGAAATATTTACTTTTATTAACTCAACAAACGCATTTTAAAAAAATGTTTAATTCTAAAAGCCACAAAAATATTCTTGGTTAAAAATATGTGTTTAGCACTGAAGATTATGATATAAGTGTATGTAAATGCTTTTTTTTTTTTGGAAATATTTTTCTGGTATTTAGATTTAAAATTTTTAAATAATATTATTATATTATAAAATAATATGAGTTATTAATAGTATAATAGACAATATTTTTTTATTAGTTTTAAAAATATTGTACTGATTTTTGTATGTCATGTTTTTCAATGACTAAGTAATATTTTGAATTCTTATAGTTTTAATAATGAATTTGGAAAATAATAGTGATACATTACTATTTAGAAGATCACGACGGACTGAAGAATCAAATGATGGTAAATTGAGTTTCCAAGTTTATAAGTTACTTAAATTATAAAAAAGTGGAACCAACTGATATTAATTAAAATAATTTTTTGGTTAATAAATAACTAAAGCCCCTTTTACTTATTTTTCAAATGTTTTAATTATAAATTGTTAAAAGCTGTTAAATTGAACTAATTGTATTGTTAATTTTCATCAGATATAAAACTATTAACTATTTAACCATTTTTGCATACTAATTTAAAATTTGTTATTAGATTTTTCATATACCTTTAATTTTTTAAATAACTACCAATTAGTAAAACTAGATTATTAAATAAATAATTAATTATAAATTACTAATACAATATATAATACTATAGTACTATAATACTAATATTAATTAAAATAAATTGCTAATTACATATTAAAAATATACTTAATGATATTCTAAAAATGTTTTGTTAATTTTTGTTTACACAAAAATAAATAACATTTTATGTTAGGCTAGGAATAAAGGAAGCTGATAAAGAAGTCTATAGACTTGCTAAAGTAAGAGAAAAATTATATAAAGATTATCACAATGTAAGATGTATAAAAAATGTATCAGAAGTAGTAAAAACACCATGCTTACCTAAAAACAATGAAACTTTTCAAAAAACTTAATTCCTTTTTCATAGAAATTAAAATAAAGTTTTATAATTGGATTTTCTATACATAATTAAGAAAAAAATATTACCAAGATTAAATATATTAGGTGCTAATTGTTGATTTTTTAAATCACAAAAAAAAATGTTGATGTTCTCTTTTGTTTGGACCCAATATATAAATAGGATTTCTCGTGGAACGAAAAATTGGTAGATTTAATTAGGAAGAAAGAGGTATGGAAGGCTGTAGCATCAATAAAAAAAGAATAAAGTAGTAGACTTAGATAAAATGTTAGTAGGAAGAGATAAGATATAGATTTATGTGTGGGTGAGTGAAGTGAAGAGAAGCGTCTGGTGTGCTATGCTATAAAAGAATACCAATGAGACTGTAATGTAAGTTCTATAAAACTGTAGTGAGACCAGCTATGATGTATGGGTCAGAGTGTTGTGCGGTTGACAAGTAAGTGGAGCAGAGAATGATTGTAGTAAAGATGAGAATGCTTAGATGGATAAGTATAGTGACTAGAGAAGATAGGATAAGGAACAAACACATAAGAGGGAATATAGGTGTAATATCAATCGTGGATAAGATAAGAAAAAATTAATTTAGATGGTTTGGTCATGTTATAAGGAGATGTTATATGTTTCAGTAATGAAAATTAATGTTGAGGGAAGAAGAGGTAGAGGAAATATGTAATAAAATATATGTATATTAAAATATTATAATTTATTTATTATAAATTATAAATTATTATTATATTTTAAGGTTCTATGTTTGCTGCTCCAACTTTCTTATCAGTTGATCAAAAAACTGATTGTGGTTCTACCTCTCTTTTAGAAGACAAACAATATTGGTGTGAACAATGGGTATTAGCTCATCGCGAAGGAAACGTAACTGAAGAAAAGAAATATGTTGCTAAAAAAAAATGTATGTTTAATTACATTAATTGATGAGTTGATAAAATAGGGGTAAAAACAAAAAAGTTATATACATATAATATCATGATATTTTCATCTAGATATACTTAAACTTCTTTGTTTTAATTATCCTCATGTTAAAATTTTAAATTCTAAAGTATCTAAAAGAAATTATTATTTTTAGTTTTTTCAAGAACATTTAAAAAAAAAAAGGAAAAAAATAGCATTCTTCATAAAAAAAAAAAATTAACATGTTTATTTTAGTGCTTGAAAAAAAATCAAAATCTATTAAAATATTTTAAAACACAACCATATTTAGTCACAATAACTTTTATCCAGCAAATATTTTGTGTTACTTTTTTTTTAAATCATTTTTATTTATAGACTACATAAAAAACATTTATTTTTTTGCCTCTAATAAAAATAACAAATTTTATTCAAAATTTCAAAATGCCTATTTTTAGAAAAAAAATTTGACCAGTTGATAAAATCTTGAGTATAAGTACTTATTGAGTTACAAGCATTTTTAATACATAATGTGGGTGTATAGTGCAGATGGATACAGCTTTGTTGGTGTATATTTATAATGCATAAACTTACCCCGTTATTTGCTCGCACTATGTATTAAAATGCTCATAGCTCAATAATTAACTATCCTAAAATGTATTTTATTTTTTTGTTATTGGAAACTTTACATCAAAGCTAATATATGCATATATCGTAGGCTAAAACTTATTTTTAAAAAAATAATGCATAATATTTGCTGGATAAGTTATTAAGAATGTTGTGCGATATTTTATATATTTAGGTTAGGAAAAAAATTAAGGGTGTTCCAATAACATAACAAAGATTAGCTTTTTTAATAATTTTCTAAATAATTATTACATTTACAATAACAATTTTTTTTTAAATCTAAACTATACTAATACTGACATAACTTTTAAATTAAGGAGTATAATGTTTTAAATTATTGTTAATAATTTAGCTTCAAAATGAATTAAATTCACTTTATTATTTCAGGTGTCGTAATGAATTCTTCTGATGAAACGGCATCAATTGAATCAAGTTTAAATTTAAATAATTTAAAAGATATTAAAAACCATCAACCAAGGAAAAAAAAACTCAATTTAGATCAAGTTGAATTGCATTTTTACTGTAGTTGGGAAGAATGCGGGTATAGTTCATCCAGTTTAAAAGATTACTTTTACCATGTTAGTGAGCATATTGATTTTCTTTGGACTGAAGAATGGCAAGGAAATAAAGAGAGTAAGTGAATCATAGATTGATTATCTAGGGATAAGCTAAAATTAAGGATATTAATGTTTAACCAGGGCTAGGAAGTTTTAGCAAATGCATATTTTTATTGATATCTCTTAGAGCATTCAAAATAAGATACAAATTTGTTTTACATTTTCCAGATGTCTTATACAAATTTTATTTTGTTAATTTTTACATTTTTACAGTTTTTGGTGCTATTTTGCTCAATTTTAGGTTTAAGTGCTATTTTTAGCTAGATTATATATATATATATATATATATATTGTATTGAAAAAAAAATAATGCTAACACATAAATATGAATATGATAACGAAAACTAACAAGTATTTTGATTATCAAATGTGTTATATTCGATTGTTGTTGTCAATAATACAATTCATGTCATTTCCAATAATTTGGTAATTTCATGTCAAACATACTACTATTATCGGCATCATCGTATTTACATAGGTCTTGGCGTTATCCTCATATTATCTACATATACAATGTTTTTATTTTAGAGTAAAATTTTTATTGTCCCACCGTCATTTCTATGTGTTTCATCTGTAGTATTTGAAAAGTGGTGTGTTAATTGTTTTAAAAATGCCAAAAGTAAAACAAATTTATCGAGTTGGCTACAATATTATGTTAATGAATTTAGTCTTAATATATTTTCAATCAATGCAAGTGTATTGTTTTGTAAAATTTGTGAAATTTAAGTTCATTCTGACAAAAAGTTCATTTAACTTTTTGATATCACAACATTTAAAAAGTTGCAAACATATAAAAGGCTTTTGTCCGATATGAAAGTAAAGTTAATCGAAAACAGCAACAGTTATTGATAAAGATAAGTAATAGAAAATCATCATTCAACAAAGATTTGTGTGAGGCCCTTATTTCCGCTAATATTCCTTTAAATAAATAAAAAATTGAAAATTAAAGACATTTTTGGAAATGTATACAAAAAATGATATTCCGAGCGAAACCACGTTGCGAAAAAGATATCTAGTCAAAATTTATAATGATACAATGGACGATATAAGGAAAACTATTTCAGACAATAAAATTTTGGTCAGTATCGATGAAATGACTGATGTAGAGAATCATTACATTGCGAATATAATAGTCAATATTCTTGATAAAAGTTGCACAATTTTTTTTACTAAATTTGAATGAACTAGAAAAAGTTAAGCACTTCACAATTAGCAATTTTTTTGACAGATTGATGAGTTTATTATAGCCAACTAGTATTCAGCATGATAAAGTAATTTTATTAGCTTCGATGCGAAGCTGAGAAGGTATTGGTTTTACTAAGATGTGTTTAATTTTTTTTATTTTTTTTTTGTGTCTGTTACCACTTTTTCTCAGCTCTCACCGAACCGATTTCTTTCAATGATACGTCAAAAGATCAAAAATCGTATCTAGTCGAAGACATTACCCTTTAAAATTAAAAAAAATTCCCTCGTTCCCCGAAAATGGGGGAAACCTCCAAAAAAATTACAAATTTAAAAATCGCTAATTTTCGAAATTTTTTCAATTTTTTTTACTTAAAATTGCTATAACTTTTTAAAAAATAACCAAATCAATATAATTTTTTTTTAAATAGATGCATGATATCATTACCTTTCATTTGGTATATTTTTTTTTTATATGTGACCCTTTACTTGCCCACAGGGGGGGATTTAAAATGACAACTTTTTCACAAAAAATTTACTTCTTCAACTTGATTTTTGAAAATGTTCCGGAAGGTCTGACACTTTTATATATATCTTAAATTTAAGCTTATGTAATGTTCTTTATTATGGTAAAAAAAAATTTCGGACTTTATTTTATCTTCACGGTGAAAATGGCTACCGAATGCTATTATTGTGTGAAAATTTTCGATTTTGTATTTTAAATTTTTAACTTTATAATGATATAACTTATTGAAAAGTGTATGGATCAACATAGTTTTTTTATGAGAAATAATATTTTTTAATTATCCCTTTTTCATTTGACATACTTTATCTGAATCAGGATATTAATAACGAACTAGCAGATCATGTTGCTTTTGGTATAATCCACCAATTTTTTAAAATTAAACACTATCTAAAGATTTGCATCGAAGCGTTTTTTTTGATAGTGATTTTAATCACTGTCAGATATCATAATATTTGATCCAACTATGCCACGTCACCACTGTGCCGTGATCCCCCTGTGCTGGGTTTTTTTATCTGATAGTACCTAGACAACCTAAAATGTTTATCAAGACCTCCAATCTACTACTGTGTGATCTTAATAGCATGACTAGACATCAAATAAGCACTTTAACTGGTCTACTAACAAGACATGGTCATTTGTTTAAACAACTTTATGCAATGGGGGTATTGGAACCACCATTGTACAGTAAGTGTGGAGAAAAAGAGGAAGACTCTTTTCACATAATGTGCGAATGTGAAGCCTTGTGTACACTCAGATCAAACTACTTGAGTAAACCTTTTTCTGAAAAATAAGATATCAAAAATCTAAGACCCAGAGAGATACTTTATTTCGCCAAAAAGATTGGACTTTTTGGTCATTCACAGGGGGTGACTTGATAGTCCATCATTATACAATGATAGGTATAATGAAATAACATTTTGGTGTGTAAATCGAATCAAGACAATTCGGTATAAGGTTTGCACAATGGACAAACAGGTCTGAGTGCATGGGCATTATGTTCACCTCACTAATAACTAAAACTACCACCAGAGCCAATTTTAACTTGTTAGAGAACTTGGTTTAACACAATAATTTATTATTGCAAGAATTTTGTGATAATACACCGTATTGTTTTCATGTTGGACAAAAACAATGCTGATAATATTAAAGGCGCCTAAAATTTCATCATAAAACCTGGATTAGAAAATACCTTGACGTATATTAAGTCGAACTTTACTACCTTAACCTTAGCTATTGAAAAATTACAACAGCAACATGTACCACTATCGGATTTAATCAAAATTGTCAAGGATATTCAAAACTCATTGGAAAATCTTAGTGATATAAAAGGAAACGCTATTCAAAATAAGTTCAATAAGGTATTGGAAAAAAATTTTGGTCTCTCACCATTAATAAAAATATCAAAAGTTCTAACGTGTGAAGAAATATCACAAAATTAATCTGGTCTTTCTGAAGATTGAATTTGTAACGACTTAGCATTTTTAAATACGCACCTGTGACATTTGATGATGTTGAGCGGTCATTTTCAACATATAAAACTATTATCAAATAACCATAGATCATATCAAATCAAATCATATCATATCAAAAATGTAAGAAAACATTATTCAGTGTAATTCTTTAGTTAAATAATATAAATTCATTTAAAATTAATACATTACAAAATTAATAATATATATATATTTTATAAAATAAAAATAAATATTCAACTGTAACATTTAAGCTGTTTTAAATAGTTGTGTTTAAAAAAATTATTATTAAAAAAATTTTGTATTAAAATTGTAATATGCATATTTTTTTTGTTTTTAGTGCTATTTATAGCGCTCATTGTAGTCTTTATAAGTGCATTTTAAAGTGATAAAAATCTATTTTATTAATGCTATAATATCCGAGCCCTGATTATAACACATCATACCTGAGGTTGTATTTAGACATTTAGCAGCTTCATAGTATGTAATATAACATTATAAAAATTAATATGATTCAAAAATGTGCAGCTCTCCTTGTAATACATCAGAAACTTTGTGCTGGATGTATAGGGTAACTTATGCCTTCTTTTAATATAACCCTAGCCATGCTTTTATGTGTAAGTATTAGAGTTTGATTTCACTGGGAATCAAATCAAGATTATGCACTTGGCTACTAGATTTACACATACTCTGTAGCAGAATTAATATATTTTCATAGAGAAAGTTACACGTAAATAACAAACAAAAAATTAGTTATATATTTGGCATCTAATATGATAATATTATAACTTTCATTACCTAGATATTTTAAATTATCAATATTTCAGGAATAAAAATATCAATACTTATATATTGTATGTTATAAAAAAATACTGTGGCAAATTGAATAATAAAATAGTTCTGTTATTTGTATATTGCATTTTCTAGTTTTAAAACTAGAAAATACAATATAGAAATTTAATAAAATTGATATTGTCATTATTATAATTAAAAAATTTATGTTTTATTTTAATTTTAGAATGGTTTATTTGTTTATGGAATAAATGTTCATTTCAATCAAACTGTGAAGTAAAATCTACTACACATGTTAATTACCACGCATACCATACCAGACTCAAATGTGTTGGTGCTGCAATTCTAAATCTTCTAGAAATACCTGTAAGTATTTTTACCTTTTGCAATCAAATAGTTGTTCAGTTACTTTTGTAATAGGAATGTAAACAAAACGATAATGGAACAAATATTTTACCTGATTTACCTGATGAATTTGAATGTAATTGGGAAAATTGCAATGAACGTTTTGAATGTATGCAACATTTTGCATACCATGTCGCACATCATTTAAATATTATTGAATTTAATAAACAAGATGTAACTTGTCCATGGACAGGTAAATCTATTTTAATATTTTAATTCAGTATTATAAAAATATTGTATTATATTTTATAGATTGCAATTTAAAATTTATCAAACGCTCACGATTAGTTGATCATATGAAAAGTCATACTTTAGAAAAAATGTGTGCTTGTCCAAACTGTGGTGTTATGTTTGCTACTTATACAAAATTAAAAGATCACTGTTGGCAATCAAATAAGGGTAATTTATTTTAGTAAAAATAAAAAATGTTTGATAACTAATTATAAATTTTACAGATAAAAGTAATCATCAATGTACACTTTGTCAAAAAAGGTTTTCATGTGAAAGGCTTTTAAAACAACATGTTCGTTTACATATTAATTACTTTAAGTGCCCTCAATGTGATGCTTCATTTTCTAGAGCTACTCAATTAGCTACTCATATACGATATCGTCATATAAATGTAAAACCTTTTAAATGTCATTTGTGTGATTCAAAGTTAGTATCAATAATTTCATAAATTTCTTTAAGCAATTGTTTAAATATCTTGTTTATTAAATTTTCTTCTAATGTAATGTATTAAAAACAATGAATACTGCAAATATTGAAGATAGATAATAGATTCTATTAACATAAAAAATCTAGTATCAAATTCTGTTAATATTAATCATCTAGCAGATATAAATTATTGAACTGTTATATTAGTTATAATATAATAGTGATAGAATAAATTTTATTCAAAATTATTCTTTAAATAAACATTTTGAGCCAACCCCCCAATTTTCCTTTACTTTTTAGTATATTCTAATGGTGAAAGAGTTGCTTTATTTAAGAAAATTAGAAAGCAAGCTAGACTAAAATTTTTAAGCATTTATAGACAATTTAAGACATCAGCTAAAAATGTAAACAGAAAAAACTGGATTTTTTTTTTTTAAACAAATTTTTTGATAGTTAGATATTATAATTTTTTAAATTTATAATCATTTAGTTAATGAATGACTTGAAATAAAGTATACCAAATAAATTGTTAAATATATAAATAATGACATCATGGTAAAATAAATACCTTCTCATCTTTGCACTGAAACTATAATTTGTTATAACAGCAAAATCATATACTTCCCTTAACCACATTTTTTGTTAGCAGGGACTTAATCACAGCACTTAAAAACAAAACAATTTAAAATAAGATCTGAGTTCAGATGTGCTCTAATTTTCAATTAAATATACATTTTCTTTACAAGACAATTTTTTACAATAAATATTTATACAATATTTAATATTATTATATTATTTAATATAAATATTTTCTGAATGTGGTATTAGAGTTATCAGATTGGTTTTAGTTTTTGAGATAATAGATAATTAGTAAAAATTAGGCAATTAATTGCTCATTAAAAAATAATTAATCTTAGTCATAGTTTCCAAAATTGATTTTGAATATCATTTTATAAAAAACAAAGCTAAACTTTTTTTTTAATCTTAAATCAATAATTATACTTTTCTATAGCTAAATTTTAGAAATGTATTTTTTATGTTTTTAGTATAACTAGATATTGAAATAATTGTTCTTAATAGTAATTAACTGTGAAAGCTTAAAGTTTTAATATTATCACAATATTTTTATAAAAATTATTTTTATTTCTAAAATTAAGTATATTTTTTAAATAAATAATATTAAAAAATCATTTTTGACATTGTAAAAAAAAATTTTAATTAGATTTCAAGTATCATCATTATCTTTTAAGTTATGTTGTGATCTTGTGCAATAATTCAAAACAGTTACATGTTTATACAGCTCAACACTTAAAATATACTAGTATTTTCTCATTCATTGATAAATAATTTATATAAAATTGTTATAAGAGTTTTAATTATTACAATTATTGTTATATGGAAGCGAAACATGGACTACTGCAAGAGTAGAAATAAGAAGAATAGAGACATTCGAAATGTGGTGCTATAGGAGGTATAGATAAGATAAGTTGGCCTGATGAAATTACTAATGAAAAAGTTTTAGAAACGGTATCTGAGAGGAAATTAATATAGAAGAGTATACAGAAAAGGCGAGATGAATTAATAGGTCATATTTTAAGACACGATAGGTTGCTATTATTAATCTTAAAGGAATAATCGATGAAAAAAATCATAAGTGGAAGACCAAGATTGCAATACATAAGTCAGATAATAGAAGATGAAAGATGTAATTTATATCAAGAGGAAGGCTAGTGATAGTGAAACAAGTTGCTACAAACCAATTTTTAGATTGAATACCGCAGAAAAGAGAAAGAGATTGAGTATTAGTGTAGTATTCTATTATAACCATTTTATAAATTGTTTATTTTGAAAAAAAAAATTTTTTTTCAATAAACAATTAATTACATAATTACCTGATTTTCACTAATTAGCTATTATCTTAAAAACGAGAATCAATATGATAATTTAAGGTCATTTAGAAGCAGTAACAAACTTTTATTCAAAATTTACTAATATATTGTTGGACGTAAAAAATGTTTGATTTTATTTGTATAGTGTTATATAGTAATTATTTACCTTTTTTTGGTAAATAGTATATTTTTATTGATCAAGTCATTTTAATCATTTAAACATTTATATGCTTCAATCTTTTGGATAGTTATATTCATAGGCTTAGGATGGTCAATTTTTTTATAATGGGGGCTAAATTTAATTCTTGCTCCTCTAAATAATAATTTTGGTGTAACATTATATAAAATGTTGTTGAATTTTGAAAGGGGGCTTAATTGTAAACGAGAGGCTAAGCTTTCTACCCCTTAAACTCTATCCTAATGATGTCTTGTACTAATAATTTACTACATAATATAATTTAACAAATATAAATATTTAGAGTTAACACCCTTTTTAAGTTATAAGGGATGATTCTAAAAAGTAATTATTAGCTGATAAATCAATGTTATATGTAACTTAAAGATATCAAAAATTGTTACAAAAACATGGTTTGAAAACATCAAAAATTTATCATTTGATTTTGAAGTGGTCTTTTACTGATTTTCAATGCTATATTTTACATGTTTCACTTTTTTCTCAAACTTCAAATTTTTATAGTGTATAAAACAGATATATAACTAGAAAATAATATTTAATATTTAGTAACTTTGATTTGTGTATAGTAATTGCTGAAAATTATATTTATTACTTATTAAAAATTCATATTCTATACGAAAATATCCATTTTGGATATCTCATTTGCATACATAAAAATATTTTTCAATTTTCATCTAGGCTAATTTTTATCATTTTTTTTATTTTTTTGAAAGATTTGTTCGTAAACAAGATCTTACAAATCATTTAAGAATACATGAACCTGGACCATTATTTAAATGTTCAAGAGACGAATGTGATTTTTCTTGTCGAAGTGAATTTGCTATGAGAAAACATATAGGTATCCAACATTATGAAGGAGGAGCAGAAGAATTGTATAAATATTATTGCCATCTTTGTGATGATTTATTTATGAATGGTTCATTTCTTACTAAACATTTGAAAAATGATCATAACTTTCATAAGCCATCTGGTTTAAAACGATTCAGGTGAGATTTATAATTAATATCAAATCAACTACAATTGTTTAATAATAGTTTTACAGATAAAACAGTTGTTACCTACATTCTAACACGTCGCTTTTAAAATCTTTACAAAAATTCAGTTAGTGTAAAAAATAATCTTTTATTAAAGTTTTAGGAGGAAAATTATTTTTAAATAGTTTGTTACATGGATATTTGGTCAATTTGCTTATTAGTTTTTTGGTTGGTATTGATTAAATTTAAACATTAGATTTAATAAAATGAAGAGTTCCTTGAATTTCATTACAAGCAATATTTTTTAGGATATGATAAACATAGCAATAACAAATTATTTTTTATGTTAAGTTTTGCTAAAAAATTTTGTATTGAATATATTTCATATATATGTTTTACAGTTAATGTCGTTCCATAAATTTGAAAACATTTAATTGAGAGCTTAAGCTCCTTTTATATCTTTTCATATAGTTATAGTCATAAGCACAGTTTTATCAATATTTTTGGGTGATTCTAGTTTAAAATTTTCTCTCTTGATAAGTATTACTTTTTGGAATTAAAGAAAAGAAAAGTTGTACTTTACATTTGTTGGTTACTTAAAAACTACATTAATTTTGGATATTATTTATTAATTAAATACAGGTACATTGAAGATGATGACGGCTATTACAAATTGCAAATGTCTAGATATGAATGTTTAGATATTCAAGAGCAAAAAAGTGTGAAATTAGTCAATCCTAAGAAAGTTGTTTTGAGGAAGAAAACCCAGGATAATCTTTCTAAAGTATTTTTTTTGTTTAAGTATATAAGTTTATAAATAGAAAATATTTGACATTGTAATTCAACTAACTGGTTGTATTCCACTTGTAAAATTTTTTTAATATCAATTTAAATATTAAAAAAACATCTCATTATATGCTCTTAAATAAGCTACTGAAAAGGGGTGGCCCTGAGACTCCAAGTCCATTCTTGTCAGTCTCAAATAATCATACATATTATCAATGTAATTATTACCACACTTTAATAGCTGTGGGTGACATTAGGTAGTTTTAGAGTGAACTTATAATACTATATCGTTATCATGCCAAATGCCAAGTGTAAAAAATGACCAAATTAGTTAACAAAAATAGCAACTTTAAAATATTCTCCTTCATGTATAATTAATGTATAAAATTTAATATAATATTGAATACATCAAATTGTATGAAACAAAAGAGAAAGATTTATTTCACATTGTATGTGAATGTAATATTCTGGCCACATTAAGATCTAAACATTTGGAAAAAAATTTTCCCAAAAAAGAAGATATTAAAAACCTTAAACTCCAAAAGATACTTAATTTCACTAAAGAGACAAGACTCTTTGAATATATATAGGTGTGGCATAGTAGGACATCCTATATATTTATATAGTCTTAGATATTCAACAATGGCAATAACATTTCTGTAGAAACACTTATGTGGAGAAATCGAATTAATATAATTCGGTAGGAGATGGGCACAATGAACCTATAATTCTTAGTTAATGGGCAGTTTTTGCCTAATTTTCTAACAACTAAAACTCAACTATAAACTATAAGATAAATATTACAAATTTAATTAAATTAGATCAAACTAAATTAAGTAAGTTCATATATTAAAGAGATGATTAACAATAATTATTTTTGTTTTATAGGATCAATCATTAGAGTTTGTTGTTGAAATAGAAGATAAAGAAAGTGAAGATGAAGAAAATGAAGATGATATTTAGTTAAAGAAATTTCCTACTTGCAAAATAAAATTGATTTGTATTATTCCTTTTACTTAATCATATTTTTATAATTTAGAATTATTTTCTTTTAAAAAACTAGAAGTAATTTTTTAATTTTAAAACTATTTATAATTTTCTTATTGAATTTTTATACAAACAACTTGACATACTTATAAATAAAAATGTATACGAAATTCAACATTAAATATTTGGATAATATGTGTCTTCAAATCTTTTTCTTCTCATTCTCAAATTTTCATTTCTATATTTACGAGGAATATAATATCCTAAATGATCATTTAACCTTCTTTCATTTAGTGGATCTTGGCCTAATTCAAAGAAACGCCTTCTTGCTTCAAATGGTCTGGTTTCAAACTGAATTTTATAAATTCTTTCCCAGTCGTATATTTCTGGCTCTAGGTGATGCCTTGGTCGATGAGATAATAAAAGTTTATGTCTATCATGCAACCATATTCTAAAAAATGTCAGTAAAATCAATATTTTATGAATAATTAATTTAAAAACCATAAGGAATATATTATTAACAAATAAAATAAATAAATAATGATCTAACTAGACCAAATTACATTTAACTAAGAAGTTATAGTGATTAATTTATTCAATCCAATTTACAATTTAACATAGTAAAATAAAAACTATCTATATTAATGATGGCAATACAATTATAAAACTATAATCACTAATGGGTTAATATTGATTTCATGTATATTCTATTATATTTTATTAATATTAATTTTTTAACAACAGAATTTTTTCATACATTATCCATTTTAAATGAATTAAATGTATATAATTTTCACTAATTTGTTTATAAAATTATTATAAATAAGTTCCTTTAAATAAATGTCAAAATCTGTACTCTTCCAAAGAATGGTTAAAAAAAATTACCTTTTATTGATATCATTAATATTTGCAACAACCTTCTCTTCTCCTAGATATGGACATAAATTATGATCACGATTTTTTGGAGTATTTACATAACAGCTTAATAAGTTCTTTAATACATTATCATTCCAACCTAAAAATATTAAATGCGTTAAAATTTAGATAGGAAAAAATTAATTTATTTATTACTAACCAACAACTTTATTATCTTTTATGTTTTGAAAGAGTTCAGAAGTTCTGGTAGCCCAACAATCATTAAAAGGTTTAATAGGACAATTTATTTCATCTTGACTTTTAAAGAATCGTACTGTATTTAACTGATATACATAAAATGACCATAATTTGCCATTAGTAATAATTGATTGATTTACAAAAGGATAAGTAATCTCATTACAAGTAGTAAATCCTAGAATTTATAAAATAATTTTATAAACAACAAAAAAGCATATCAATAAATAATGTTTTATAAAAATTACTAACATCATAAATTTAAAATTATTGAAAATAAATATAATTTAGCTGGTACTATACTATAGTAAGTAACTGTAAATTATCTGCTAATAACACTAGTTAACAAAAAAAAAAATTTTCTTTTCTATGATACAGTAGAACTCCAATTATCCGAACTCCGATCATCCGAATCGCCGATTATCCGAATCACTTTCAGAAAAAATCAGAAAAAAATTTGTCCTAAGTCCGCGGCGTCAGTGTAGGCACAACACGTGGTAAGAGTTCCCAATCCAGTTCCGGCGCATTGCAGTCACCTGTCATTGTTTATTTTGATTAGTCAGTGAATGGGTCCCGGTCCCCATTAATTCGGATAATTGGAGTTCTACTGTATATAATAGTCATTTTTTATGTAAAATCTTTCGCCGAGTCCGAAAATGAAATCCAAACTACAAAAAGTAGAACAGTTTTTAAGTTATTGCAAAATTAGTGTTTTTCGTGTGTCACAAAAAAGTGTTTACATTATTTTCTAAATATCTTTAATTGCAGTTCAACCAATTTTCAATTTTTTTACATAAAAATAAACAATATTATATTATCAATAACTTTTGTCTTGAACAATTTTTGATCTGACTATTTTCTCGTTTGCTATATATCAAAAAAAATTCAGAGTTATACGTAAAATACACCAATAGAAAATAAATTTATCAACAATATATTCAATAGATGTTATACTCTAATATATAATAACAAAAAAAATGATATATTTTTATAAGATTGATAAAAAAATAAAGATGTTATGCGCGATTGAAAAAATAATACAAATTTCCTAATATCGGAGTTTTTTTAATTTGTTGCTTTTATTTTATAAAATACAGAAAAAAAATATTGCAAAATTACTCACAATATTACTTTTGAACAAAATTTCGATTTTTTAAATAACTTAAGGTTTTTTTCCTATAGATTTATAGGGATATTTTTAAATTAAGTTAGTTTTACAGTTCAGCGGAGTTACGTTAAATTTTCGTTTATAAAAAAAATATGAAAATTCTCTAAAAATATTAAGTGATTTGCTATAGAATTAAGAAAATTGAAACTGTTCTAAAATGGATTTAAAAAAATAACTTTTAATAAAGTAAATTTCATATGTTATTCAAAAAATAAATAAATAATAAGTTTTTCTTTTACTGATTGTTTTCAAACAAAAAAAAAAACAATTATAATTTTAGCTATTATAATATTATACTCAATCTTATATAAAACAACAAGGTTTGTTATTGTAGAGTTAGGTGTTGCTATTAATAAACAACCGAATTTCATTTGTTTATTGATAGCAACAAACTAAGTTTTAAAGCTGTTTTACTGTACCAAGGAAACACCAAATATTCAATTCCATTTGCGCTTGCTGTAAATATAATATTTCTGACGACATCTGTAAAATGCAACTTTTACTTATGAATTAAATAAATTTTTTGATAATCATAAAATTAATTAAAAAAATATGTTAGCTAAAATTATAATGGATTTTTTTTTTGAAAACAATCAGTAAAAGAAATCTTATTATTTATTTATTTTTTGAATAACATATCGCGCATAACATCTTCATTTTTTTATCAATCTTACAAAGTAATATATCATTTTCTTTGTTGTATATTAGAGTATAACGTCTATTGAATATATTGTTGATAAATTTATTTTCTATTGGTGTATTTTACGTATAACTCTGAATTTTTTTTGATATATAGCAAACGAGAAAATAGTCAGATCAAAAATTGTTCAAGACAAAAGTTATTGATAATATAATATTGTTTATTTTTATGTAAAAAAATTGAAAATTGGTTGAACTGCAATTAAAGATATTTAGAAAATAATGTAAACACTTTTTTGTGACACACGAAAAACACTAATTTTGCAATAACTGAAAAACTGTTCTACTTTTTGTAGTTTGGACTTCATTTTCGGACTCAGCGAAAGATTTTACATAAAAAATGACTATCATATGTTATAAGTCAATTTTGTTGTAAACTAGTGTAATTTATGATTTTTCTAACAATATATGTTTATTAAATTTATACATAAACTTAAAATGAGATAAATATATTTACAAAAATAGAATAGAGCAATTTTTTTTTTAATTATTGTGTATAATTTAAGTATAATACACCTAATGTGATGAGGTTAGTCTTGATAACATGTACTTTACTATCTATGTGGGTTTCACTCCGAAGAGATTCACCAACAACCGTGATCAGCATTAGCACTAGGTGCTATTTTTCGGGCATGGAGGATTAGTGAGCGAGGAGCGACAAGTTGGTCCACAGTCACTGAGTGTTCAAACGGAATGCCAGCGCCAGACAACTAAGTAACCATTTACCTCTGGTTTGCACCAATCTAGGGTACCCTGGTACTATCCAAGCCACTACGTATTATGGTATACGCAACCTCTAGTGTATCTCTCCACTGGGAAAGGCCAAGACCTGTCTCTCAGCTGCTTTCCCTGAGGCCAGCATTTAGCCATAAACCACAAAGTTAGTCACCACAGATCCAAGCCCCCCTGATATGCGGTAAACCGGTCTGATAACGAGTGTTGGGATGGCAGACAATGACTAGGCCATCATTTAGGGCGCCCGTCCTGCCCCTGGTACGGAAAATCTCCGGGGGGTATTCAGCTATGCGTCATCAACTTTCATCTCAGCAAGTGCCTACCCGAATTGAGTAAGTGCACTCTGGTTCAGTTGAGTAATAGCAAGCCAGACTATTGGTTCCCACACTGGTCTGACGGAGACTCTGGCTCTCGATTTGGTACTGTTTAAAATTATATATTAATCAGTGTTATTTTTGTAAAATATTGGATGTTAATCTTTTCTGTATTTAAAGATTTACTCATTGTTTGCATATATCTAGAGCCTCTATTCCTTTTTTTGAAGCCAAAATTAAAAAAATTTACTGTTGTGATAAAGGTATTAAAAAATGTGTGTATGACCTAGGAAAAATGTCCTAGTTGACCTTCCCTAAAACTAGTAATCCCACAACCTAAAAAAATGTCTATACTTATTTCTACCCAATGTTATACTAAAATAAGATAAATATATTATAGATAATATGAAAATACTTAATACAATATAAGCAATGACATGGCAAAGGTACAGTTGCAAAAACTAAATTTTTCTAAAGAAAAACTATTAAGTAAAGCCATGTGAACTTGAAAATTATTCTTTAGTTTTCTGTGTTATTTCTATTTAGATATACAGATATTTAATTAAATTTTTTTGATTTTTAGGATTAATATTTACTGTTTTCCTTGATTTCTTTTAACTAAATACCTTTTCCATGTCAATGCCTCAAATTATTAACATATTAATAACCCTGATAATGAGCTTGTCCTAACAACCAAGCAAATGAAGCTAATATTGCTTGAGCATGTATGGCTTCTTGATGTTCATCTTCACCAAAATTAGGAGGCCGATTTTCCAAATATTCATTTGTATGTATTGATAAAAAACCAAATTTCTGATCATCATTTGGCCAAAAACCTAGAATCATAAATACACAATTTATTTTAAAAAAAAAACCCAGCACAGAGGGGTCGCAGCACTGTGGTGACGTGGCATAGTTGGATCAAGTATAATGATATCTGACAGTGATTAAAATCACTATAAAAAAAAAACGCTTCGATGCAAATCTTTAGATAGTGTTTAATTTTAAAAAATTGGTGTATTATTACAAAAGCTGCTAGTTCCTTATTAATATCCTGATTAAGATAAAATATGTCGAATGAAAAAGGGATTATTAAAAAATATTATTTCTCATAAAAAAATTGTGTTGATCCATACACTTTTCAATAAGTTATAGCATTATAAAGTTAAAAATGTAAAAAATAAAATCGAGAACTTTCACACAAAAATAGCATTTGGTAGCCATTTTCACCATGAAAACAAGTCCAGAGGTCAAATTTTTTTTTTCCATAATAAAGTACATTACATTAGCTTTAATTTAAGATATATATAAAAGTGTCAGACCTTCCAGAACATTTTCAAAAGTTAAGTTGAAAAAGTTAATTTTTTGTGAAAAAGTTGTCACTTTAAATCCCCCCCTGTAGGCAGGTTAAGTGTCAGATTTAAAAAAAATATACCAAATGATAGGTAAAGACATCAAGCATCTATAAAAAAAAATTATATTGATATGAAAATTAGCAAATTTTAAATTTGTAATTTTTTTGGAGGTTTCCCCCATTTATGGTAAACGAGGGAAATTTTTTCAATTTTTGATGGTAATGTCTTCGACTAGATAGTATTTGTGTTCTTTTGACGTATCATTGAAAGAAATCTGTTTGGTGAAAGCTGAGAAAAAGTGGTAACAGACAAAAAAAAAAACACATCATAGTAAAACCAATACCTTCTCAGCTTCGCATCGAAGCTAAAATTACACATTATCTCTTAATGTATATATTAATTTAAATTAAAATAGATTTAACATTTCTATAATATACTACAATTTGAAAACTAGTTGAAGCAAAAAAAAATATATAAAAAATGGTTTTAGGTCATTTTACTTTAAACTAACCAGGAATTGATACACCATGTCTTCTTTCATAAGCCAATTTATGATAAATTTTTGGATCATAATCATAATTAGGGATATGATATTCTTTGTATTTAATATTATGTACATTTGAATCAAAAGATAGTGAATTAGGTGAAAGTGCATAATCTTTGGGTAATATTTCAAGAGGTAAGTTGTGACGAAGCTGAATAGTAGGTTGGCCAAAATAATGGATCCATCTGTCAACAGGATTCTTCAAAATTTCTTCTGGCTCATTTTTTTTTTTTCGTATTTCTTGATCGTCTTTAGTGGCTGAAAAGCCATGGACATTCCAAAAAGCTTCTATCCTTGGTTCATAGTCTATCTAAAAAATTCAATAATATAATATTAAATAAAGAATATGCAATACGTTTTTTTATCAAACATTTTATCTTATTTAATAAATTTAAAAATGTTGATGATTATACCATATTTTGATTTAAAAATTATTGTACTAAAGGAAATTTTTAACTAATTATGACAGAAATTTCAATTAAACAATTTTTAAATAATTCATGATATTTGGTACAATATTTCTGCTTTATTCAGAATCAAAAAAATAACAATAGTCTAAAATATACAATATACAAAAGCTTCAATGCAAAGCTGAGAAGGTATTAATTTAATATGTTTTTCTTAAAATTGCTATAACTTTTTTAAGAATTAACGATTCAAAATAACTTTTTGTTAAATAGAGATCTTACATATTTTCTTTTTGTTTGATATTAATTTTTTTAAAAACTGACTATTTACATGCCTACGGGGGAGGACCCAAAATAGTAAAATTTGTTTAAATTAACTTTTAAAAATGTTCAAATATAGTGTCCTTTAAACATATGTTACATTAAAGCTTACATTACGTACTATAAATTAAAAAAAAATTTGTCTCAATGACTTATTCTCTATGTACAAATGGCTGTCATAATTATAAACATGTTATTTTTGTATTAAAACTTTCGATTTTATGTTTTCAACTTTAAATTGCTATAACATTTTGAAAAATGAATAGATCAACACAAATTTTTATTTTCTAAATACTTTATGTATACTTCTTTCATCCGACATACTTTTTTTTTAATTTGGATAATTTCCCTTTATACAGGCACCATTTAAAATTTGAAACATATGAACAAAAAGTAGAACTTTTGAAAATGTTCTGGAAATACTGCGTATTTTAAATATTTGTTAAATTAAAATTTGTTATGTACTAAAAAAAAAAAATTGTCCTAACAACCTATATTTCATGTGCAAATAGCTTTCAAGGTTGAACATATTTATTAAATATTCATATAATACACTTATATATGATTACATTTTTAATCAAGATATAAATAAGGAAATAGGAGTATATGTTGCTATTGTAATTATTCATCAATTCTTTAGAATTAAACACTATCTACAGATTTGCATCAAAGCGTTTCTTATGATAGTGATTTTAATCACTATCAGATATCATCTATACTTGCTCCAACTATGCCACATCCACACTATGCTAACATTTTTATAATTTATAATTTTTTTTTTATAATTTAGTACAATCTCTACTAAATTTAATTTCCTTACTTGAGCTTCAAATAAATGAGGGTATTCAGATGCTAGGTTAGCTAAGAATATTCTATTGACTTGATCAACTATACTTTTGGCTAATCTATTATCTGATGTAGTTTCTAATGTATCATTATAGTTTTCCAAGGCTTTGATACTTCTATATATAATTACATAGTATTTTATAAATGTTATATTATAATTATAATTCATATAGAACATAAATTTAAATTTTAAACAAATAAATAACACAAACCTATTTCTATTATATTCATAAACAAAAACATCTTCAAGCTGAGGTTTAATAGCTTCAATAAAATGCTTGCAATCTTCATTTGTTAGGCAATTTGGTAAAGTATCTATTTCTTTAATTTTTGTTTTAGTTATAGTTTGGGAAAAAGGTAAAAAATCATATGGTATTACTTTGTCTTTAATAACTAATGACTGCCAACCATAATACCTGTAATACAAAGAAATATGACTCGAGTCTATTTTATAAAATTTATTATATATTTATCACCTACCTAGGAATATTAATTCCAATAGTCTTTTCTTCAATTGTATGTAAATTGCGTATTTTTTCATGAAATTGTAACTCGGAACGTAACTTAGTAGGTTCTGGGTTAAGGTCTAAAATAGGAGGATATTTTACAAGTTTTTCATTTTGGGAAACTTTGGTTAAAAAAATGGACCGACTAGATGGATTAATTATACTACGTTTTAAAATTCCAATAGACCACATGTTATAATTTCTAGTGAAGTATACTACAATGAAAAGAAACACAAACAATTAAAACTCATAAATCCACCTAAGTGTACATGAGATAAATCATATAAGTGTAAAAAGTAAAATATTAATAAATAATAAACATTAACTTACTCCATTCTTTACTATCAGAAAAATACTTTTTTTAACAAGATTTTGTGATAAAAAACTTATTATCAGCTATCAGAATAATCCATAAGCAACAGAGAATAATATTACTCTATGATAAGCATGCGGAATATCATAAGTTCAAAAAACAGTTACACATATTATCTATTATTATATCATATCATATTGATAAAAAAGTCATAAAAGTCGCGGAAAAGATTTTAACTTTCAAAAGTACTTTTTATAATTTTGTTTTACACATTTTTGTTTAATTTTATTTAGTGTACATAAAAATTCTTTATTTAGATTATCATATTATCTATTATTAATTGAAGAAATTGAGAATATGTATGGTTTAAATAAAGAAAAGTAAATGTAATATTTACTTTTGAAAACTAAGCAATTTTAATATTTTTAGGTTGCAATATAATTATTAATACTCTAGTTAATAAATCTACATGATGGCTGATCATCAGTTAAAAATGTAAGCATATTTTATTTAAAGTATAATCTTAAAGTAAACACAAAATAATCAAAATCACCAATTTTCTTTTAACTATATTATTATAGTTACGGCATGGCTAAGTTGATTAGTAAACAGGCTTTCATAGTCATTGGTTTTATATTTAATAATAATTAATTTTTAGAAAAGGTTAATTGAAAAATCTTGATCTTAATCCATCAAATTTAAATAGATTTTAACAGAAAGAGTTGATAAAAATAAGTACAAGGAAATTTAAATAAAATGCTTAAGAAAAAGGGCATTATATTAATTTATTTCCTATTCTATAAACAATTTACATACAAGATAATCTATTAAGAATAAAATCATTTTCTCTGACACTGTTGGAAATTTTTAATTTACATAATTCTTTTATGTAAATTATAACTTAAATATATATAAATTATATCTTAGTGTGATAACAACTATAAAATTACTGTAGATTAGTATGCTGTGGAATTAAAGGTCAATTCAATTCATTTATCGATCATATTGAGGCATTATTCAGTAAAAAAGGCTTATTTGATTATGTATTTTGTGTTGGTGATTTTTTTGGAGATGATAATGTAAACTCTGACCAAGGTTGGAAGAAATTTAAAAATTCGGGAAAAAATGGTAAGTCTTCTTCTTTTACTTCACCTTTATCCAAACTACTTGGAGTCAGCCACCCTTATCCTAAACTCCTACTTGATACGATCTCCCACGTCATCTATGCACACATCAGCTGTCCTCATATCACATTCAATAGCATCCCTTCATCTCATTTGTGGTCTTCCTCTACTTCTTCTTCCTTCAACATTCACTTCTATAACTGTTCTTACAGCTTCGATTCCTCTCTCCTCATAACATGACCAAACTATCTAAGTCTCTCATCTTATCCATGATTAACGCTACACCTATACTTCCTCTTATATGCTCGTTCCTTATCCTATCTTCTCTAGTCACTCCACTTGCTTGTCAACCGCACAACACTCTGATCCATATATCATAGCTGGTCTCACTACAGTTTTATAAAACTTACCTTACAGCCTCATTAGAATTCTTTTATCGAATGTCTCATTTCTTATTCTCTGATCTATTACCTTTTCCCAAATTTTCATACTATGACTCGTAAGCTTTATGCCTTTATAATTTCCACACTCCTGTATATCTCTTTTGCCTTTAAATATCGGCACCACATTACTATTCCTCCTTTATTCTTTTGGTATTTTCATTTCTAATAGGATTTTATTAAAAAGATCCTTCAACCACCTTATCCTACTATTTTATTCTTTTTCATTGATACCATAGCCTCCCATACCTTTTTCTCACTAATTAAATCTACCAGTCCCTCGTTCTACAAGAAATCCTCTAATGACACTTTTGGATATTCCTCATTCAGTAATTTTTCAAAATACTCTTTTTGACCTTTTTTTTCACATCATGATTGCTCATTAGAACCCTCTCATCATCACTTTTTATACACCTTACATTGTGATCCTTGAAAAAATGGTAAGTAAAAATAATAAAGTTATATTTTTTAGTTTCAGTTCCTATTTACATATTGGGTCCAAACAAAAGAGAACATCAACATTTTTTTTGTGATTTAAAAAATCAACAATTAGCACCTAATATATTTTATCTTGGTAATATTTTTTACATATTTTAATGTATAGAAAAATAAATAATAAAACTTTATTTTAATTTCTATGAAAAAGGAATTAAGTATTTTGAAAAAATTTCATTGTTTTTAGGTAAGCATGGTGTTTTTACTACTTCTGATGGTTTAAAAATTGGTTATGTTAGTGGTGTCCAAAGTACCTGTAAAACATCTAATGAAGATTATATGTTTAATTATGATTCTATAGTTCAGTTTAAAGAATCATGTCAGCGGTCTGGACATGTTCCTTTGGATATTTTACTAACAACACCCTGGCCAGCTGATATTCTTAATAAAGAACGTTTAAATGTCAGTTTAATAAAATTTATTGCTTAATTATTTCAATATAATTGTATTATATTATAATATAATATTATGTTGAATAAATTTATGGTTTTTGAAAAAAACTTAACCTTTAGTCATTCATGTGGGATAAATAATTAACTCAGCAATTTCAAAATGTGTTTAAAAAATATTTTGGTTCGTTTATTGTGTTGGGATATTTTATACCCTCTTATTTTATAATAGTAATAGATAAATTTGTATTGGTTTGACATTTTATTAGTTAGTGTGTTAAATATGTGTGACTACTTTTTCGACAAATATTTACCCCTCACAATAGAATAGTATTTTCATTTTTATGAAATATGTTGTTGAGTTATTGAAGATAAATTTACTTTGAGTTATTTAAAACTAAAAATTATAGCTATTTTTACTAAATATTAATCATATATTTTCTACATATTATGTATATTATTTAAAATAAAATATTAATTTTACTAAATTTTTTTTGAATATACTTATATTCAAGTACTTAAATATAATTTTTCTATATAAAAAATATAAAATTTAAAAAATATTGTAAGTTTAACAGGTTTTAATTCATTTAAAATTATTACACCACACAATAAAAATGAATTCTCTGAAACTGAGCAATTAGCTCAGGGTTAATAATGCTATATTTTCAATAATATTAATGTTTAACAAAGTAAAATTTTTACATTATTTTATAGGGTGAAATCAACAAAGAGTCTTTAGATAAATCTAATGAGGCTCCATTGTTGTCATGGGTAGCTGATTGTTTAACTCCGCGATACCATTTTGCTGGAGCACAAGGTTTATTTTATCAAAGAAGTCCATTTAAGTTTGTAAACATTTTATATTTTAAATATATGTATTATTCAAATTTTAATTTTATAGAAACAACAATAGCAATGTTTTAACACGATTTATTGGAATTGCTGATTATCATAAAAACAAACATAGCAAACAGAAATGGCTATATGGATTTGTTATAACACCTGGAAGTACAACTAATAAAATAGATTACACTGTAACTGAATCACCTTATGCTTTAGACACTTCCCAATATACTTTTGGTTCTGCACCAAATATTAAACAATTTTTTTATAATACAGCAATCTCAAATACCAGTTCTGATAATAATAAATCACATAAAAAAAGAAAATATGATGGACCATCAAATAAAGGTAGATTTAGCTTAATATGTATATTTGTTAATATAATGTATCTAAAACTTTTTTAGAGTTAAAAAACATATTCTAACTGCATACATATTAACCAAATTTCTTAAGATAAGTTAAACGTAAAACTACAAAAATTTTTTTTTGTTTTACAAAATATTTTACTAATTTAAGAAGCGACTTATTTTTATCACTAAACATTTCTTAGTTCTCACTCCTCCTGCCTAAGTATAAAAATGTTAATATTTGGTGACACTTTTTTTTTTACCACAAAGCACATTTAAGAAATCTTTTATGTTCGTCTATAACTAAAAATTATAATAACTTAAAAAGTAATAATATACTTTACAATTTGTTTATCGCCTATTAACATTTTATTAAGACATTTTTCTTAATAAATCTAACTTTTAAAAGTTATCCCTGAAATCTAACCTTAGAAATATTTTTTGCTTATAATAAACTTGATATTTACAATGGTTTATACAAATGAACTGAATTTGAGTCTGTACATTTTTATGAAATATTATTTAATGAAAAATAGAGGGTAGTATACTTAATAAATAACACTGTATGTACTCTAATTTACATTTTAGTAATGCTCATTTCTATATTTAATATAGTTTAGTAACTTGATTATTGGTTAAAAATTAAATGTGTTCGACATAGGTGCCGAAACAGTTTGAAACTGTTTTCAGCTTAAAAAATTTGTATCTATATTATATCAACATACCCCATACATTAGACATAAATTTATTGTATTTATTTTTTAGTATTAGATATAAATGCAGAGTCCTGTTGGTTTTGTTTGTCAAGCAAAAATATCACAAAACATATGATCATTTCCATTGGTGAAACAGTATGAAAAATTTTTTTTTAATATATATAATAAAATTTTGTTAAATCAATTACGATACAGCAAAATAAATTCTGTTTCCATTAAAAAACCTTGATTATACATAAGAAAAATTTATAGAAAACTTGAAAATATTATTTATACTTTATTATAAATTATTGTGATTTTTTTTAGCGTATAGAAAACTTAAATAAGCCGAAAAAAATAATTTCCCTTGAGCTTTTTTTTAATTGGAGTTCTACTGTAATACAAAGTAAAACAGATCTAACTGAAAATTGTTTTAATTTTATGTATAAATATCATTTCAGTGATATATATATATATATATATATTAAGCCAGTCATCAAAGGAAAAATGGCTGAAAAATTCCCAACCAAATTTTTTTTTTTTAAAGTTGAATTAAGGTATGTATAATGACATACTAAAAGTCCTCATTGATTGGAATTGAGCTTTTTTTTACCTACTCTATCAGTTGTATCTTAATATACACTACACTTTAAAGTTACTATAAATAAATAAACTCACAAATACACACATATGTATTTATAACATTGTATCTAATGTAAGTACAACATGATAAAAAGTAACCATAAAATGAAAAAAATGGAAAATAAATTTTAGCACTCATATTAAATGTAATGTAACTCGAAAAATACTTGTTTAAATGAAAAAATATAAGATACCTTTTTTGTTTAGAATTGTCTTTTAAACAACTTTTGTATGAAACTTTTTTTTAAGTTAAATATTTTTTGAGAAAATTAAAAAAGCTCATATTTTTTAACTTTTGCGAGGCTGTAAAAAAAAGTTCAATTCCAATCAATGAGGACTTTTAGTATGTCATTATACATACCTTAACTTTAAAAAAAAAAAAATTGGTGGGGAATTTTTTCCGCTATTTGTCAAAATTACTCCTTTGTTGACTGACCTATATATATGTATATGTGGATTGAATATGCATTATAAATATACACAGGCATGAACTGTACCAACCCATTCTATATATTAAAATGCTAAAAAATGACTATTTTAAACATTTAAATCAATTTTAAAATAAAAAATAATTTATTTTTTTGTTTTTAACTTGGTTTAAAAGAAATCTCAATAAAATATTATTTGTATTAAAATTTATAAGAATTTTCAGTTTAATCTGTTCCATGCTGTACATATATATTTTTCACTTTTTTTAAATATCTGTAACTATTATTTTAGGTTTATATAGCAGCAGCAAAAGGACCTTTGGTTGAAGACCATATTTTATTAATACCAATTGAACATTGTAAATCATTGGCTGAAGCTCCTTCAAGTGTTGAAACAGAAATTAATCTGTAATTTTAAATTAAAAGTTTGTTAATTTACAAATTAAAGTTAATTACATAAATACCCGTCTTTATAGATTAAAAAGCTCATTAAATCAGTATTTTAAAAGTAAAAATCAAAGTGTTGTTTACTTTGAACGTAGCATAATGTCTGCTCATTTTCAAATACAAGTTGTACCTATACCAAATAATGTTGTAGAAAACTTGGAAAATGTATTTAAAGTAATTATTTTATTCCAAAATATTATAATTTAATAAAAAAATAATAATGTATTATTAATTTAAAAAATTTTATAGAAAAAATTTAAAGATTACAATTTAAATCTAGTAGAACTACCTCCAGCTGCTTCACTGCAACAAATATCGAAAAATTATAGTGGACAGTATTTTTATGTAGAACTGCCAAATGGAAAACGCTTTTATTATACTGCCAACAAAACAGATCAACGATTTCCAATCCAAATTGCCAGGTAGTATGTCACAACTTGTAATGAAATTTACTTTTTCTTAACTGACATGTATTTCTTAAAAATTAAATTATTATAGAGAAATATTAGCATCACCAAAAGTATTAAATGTATTGAATCGCATTGATTGGAAAAAGTGTGAACTAACTAGAAGTGAAGAAGAAGACGATGTTAAAAGATTTCGTCATCTATTTGAATCTTTTAATCCAATTAAAAATTGATCATTATGTCAAACATTCATAATAATACAATTTTGTTTTATTGTACAATTTATAATTTTAAAAATAAACTTTTTTTGATAAATATTAAAAGGAAATATAATTTATATGTGTATATTATTTTATTTATATAACTAAACTAACTTAATATTGTAAGGCAACAAGTCAAAATGTATAATTTCCTAAAATTACTATATTGAATTAAATTTTTTTAAGATACAAATAGTGCAGAGTTCAATAGTAATAACAGAAATGATGTATTTAAAAAATATCTCTACCAAAAACGATCAGAAAATCGTACTCTGGTACATTCGTTAGGTCACTGACTTTAGGTTCCAGGTGGTGTTTTAACTTATAGCTAGAAGGGAATAGTACTGATGGGTTTCTGCGAATCCCTCTAAGGATAATCTGTTATACTTAGTAAGAACTACAGCGTCTTTTGATTCATAACCCAAAATATACCGTCTGGTGCGCCAATTCATCCCCCTCAAAAAAAAAAAAATGAATATCGTCTAATCGAGCGACGGAACCTGATAGGTACATGGACAAACAAGCATTCACCAAAAGTCATATATTCTTCATGGCCATAGCACAATGGTCAACCACTTTCCTCCATGTGTATTACATTACTGATTACAGATATATTAGTGATTCTTTGACATTTTAACATATTTAGGGAATTTTTAAAGGATAGTTAGTTCATTTAATTAAACACAATTAAATTGTCATATTTTGACATATTTAACGACATATTCAGTCCAATGAGAGAATATTGTTTAGAATTGACATTTTTGAATTGTCACTGTCAATGTGATAATAAAAAACTTTGCCGGTGTGTTATCATTACTCGTTGCATTCGTATAAGAAGTGTAAACAATCATCAATTAAATATTATTCGATCGACAAAATTTATAAAATGAATATTTGTAATCAGTTTATAAATGTGTACAATTGTTGAAATCCTTAAATAAATAAAAAAACATTATTTTACTTAATAATGTTTATGACTTCTTATAATTAGATTGTTAGTCCGTAAAACAAACATAATGACTGAAGCTAATATAATACAAATCCTCAATGATATAGCTGTAATATTTTACCTTATTTGTTAATAATTCATTTTGCGATATTTACTTTTATGTTATTCCAGAAAGTAGACGAATTAACTGAAGCTTTCAATGGCTATGTCCACAAAGATTCTCTTCAAAATAATGAACAAATAGATAAATTATTTATAAACCTAACTTCAGTTATTACAAGATTGCCTGAAGAACAACAAGGAACAGCAATAAAATTAATTCTTAAAACAGCTTCTACTTTAACTGTCGGTGTCCGTCAAAAAAATTTTCTAAGGATGCTTCAAAAAATGGTTGTGTATCATGGTATTTCTTCAAAGTAATTTTTTTTTATTATATCTTTTATAATTAATTACAGTTCTTTTGTGAATAAACGATGCAATTTTTTTTTATGCTTTGCTTTTTAGACTGATGTGTGAGTGTATAATTAATTCTGAATACCTTGTTCATACAAATTCTGGTTTTTGGATTGAATGTTTCCATATCATTAAATCTATATTAGCTACTGTAGATTATAAAGGAGTTAGAGAAATTATGAAAGTAATTAGTTAGATTTAAAAAAATAGTCAAACTTAGTAAATTTATTTTTATTTCTATTCATTCTATATTGAATTTTCATCAATCCTAGAGTTGTCTTGAAAAAGTAAATGCGATGCCAAAAGTACTACCTGCCTCACTTTTACCACAATTTCTTGTGCTTGAAGATGTAATACGGTACATGTTTGATCGAGAAGCTTGTCTCCTTCCTGGTTATTTTGTTATAAATGAAATACTTAAATTATACAGTGATAAAAAAGGATGGCCACATTGGGTAAAATTTCAATTACTTTTTTAAGTTAAAGGATTGGATTTTATTGACATTTTTTTTTCTATAGAAGTTAGGCTGTTTGGTATCTAACTTTATAGAAAGTTTTAGAGGTGCAGCACAAATGACTTCAATAATAGGGCAATCATCAATGTTACCAGTAGTAGAGCATTCTGGCTATAATGATGAAATGATCATGCCTTGGAAATTAGATTCAGATACTCTTAAGTTAACATTAAAAGGAAACATTCCATACCCAAAACAACTTACTCAACCACAAACAAAATTATTTAGATATGTGTTGGAGCAGCCTTATTCTAGGGATACAGTTTGTTCTATGTTAGGATTGCAAAAAGGGGTTGGATATATTTTATTGTATTTTTTATTTTCTTAGTCAATAAATATTTATATAATGTCTAGACTAAACAACGTTGTAAAGTACTTGAAGAGCAGTTAGTTGAATTAATTATTAGATCAATGGAAAGAAGTGAAAAAGAAGTTACTGAAGGAGCCGACCCTGATGAAAATCATTGGCTTTGGCTTCACATATCTAGTCAACTGATTTATTTTATACTATTTCAATTTGCCGTATTTCCTAATATTGTAAATGCACTTCATGAAAAGGTATATTTGTGTTTTACTTTAAATTACTGACATCTAATTGTGTTGTTTAATTATTTTTGTAACAAAAATTTGTTTTTATTGATTAGCTAAATTTTATTTTAAAATATTTTTGCATAGCTATATGAAATCTGTATTTAGCACAACCAGTAGATATTTTCAATAAATTTTTTGGAGGTTTTGATAATTTTGATTAGACAAGGTAGTTTTCTTATTTTATCCCTTCCCTTGAAATAAATATTGATTTTTGAACATTTTGTAGCTTTTAGAAAAAAAAAGTTATCAAAATTATTTGAAATTATAATACCCTTAAAAAAATTTCTAGCGTTGTTTTAATGCATATTTCTAGTTTATCACTGGTGTGGTACTTGATACATTTTTTAAAATAAACTTTTGGCTTTAGAAGGCTTTTAGTCCAGGCATCCTCCTTCAAAAATATTCATCTGAACACAAATATCGGTTTTAAAAAATTAATAAACCTTTAAATTATGTTATACGTTATTAATATATAGATTGACTAAATTAAAATAATAACATGTCGTCCATGCTAGATATTTTTTATGGCAACATGGAAAGGTGTTTTTTTATTTACAAATATTCAGTTAATGTATGTTCCAGTTACTCAAAAAAGATTTACATAGATCAAGGGATAGATTGATGTGGGTACTTTTACAATATATATCTGGTAGTATTCAGCGGAGCTCTGTAAGTATCCTTAACTTCAGTTATAAATTTTGAAGATTTTAATGTTGGTTCTATTTCAGCTTGAAAATATATTGCCAGTTTTAAAATTATATGATTTATTGTATCCTGAAAAAGACCCTTTACCAGTCCCAGATACAAATAGTCCGTTATGTACTCATCAGATGGCCATTACTTGTATATGGATACATTTGCTCCGTAAAGCTCATATGGATAACATAAAATTTCATAGACCTATTCCACCGGCATTAAAGGCCCATCATGAGTATTTATTAATAATATAAAAATATATATATATAACTAATACTTCCTTTTTTTAGTTATTTACAACAACTTGTACAACCATCTAATGGTGCTCTGTGCATGGGTACTGATTATCGTATAGTTCTTCTCTGTAACGCATTTTCTACAAATAATGAATATTTATCTCGACCTATGGCTGCTCTTGTAGAAGCTGTACTTGGTAATACTAGCAATCGTAGTTTATCTGGTGTTGCATCAAACTCACAACAATCTTCTCAATCGTCTGTTGTTCCCTCTACTGTGGGTGGTACATCACCTGTAGCTGCTGTACCTGGTTCTGGTGGAACTACTAGTCCAATAAGTGGAAACACTGGATCTTCTGGTAGTATGGGTCCTACTACACCTCTTAGTATGGCTGTTTTAGATTCTTTGACAATACATGCAAAAATGAGTTTGATTCATAGCATTGTAACTCATGTCATTAAGTTAGCGCAATCTAAATCAAACATGGCTTTAGCTCCAGCATTAGTAGAAACATATAGCAGACTTTTGGTTTATACAGAAATAGAATCTTTAGGAATCAAAGGATTTATAAGTTAGATATTGATTTGTTTAAAATCATATTATTTTAACTAAGTTATTTTTATTAAAAATCTAATAAAATCCGTTTTAGGTCAAGTTTTACCTACAGTTTTTAAATCTCATGCCTGGGGAATTCTTTATACATTATTGGAAATGTTTAGTTATAGAATGCACCATATACAACCACACTATAGGGTTCAACTTCTTTCTCATTTGCATAGTTTAGCAGCTGTTCCTCAAACAAATCAAACTCAATTACACCTATGGTAAATTATATAAAATTATCATAGTTGTATCAAATAAAGAGTTTTCAAATATTTTTAGTGTTGAAAGTACTGCATTGCGCTTAATTACTAGCCTTGGAAGTAATGAAGTTCAACCACCCCTTTCAAGATTCCTTAGTGAACCTAAAACTTTAGTATCAGCTGAATCTGAAGAGCTGAATCGAGCTCTGGTTTTAACATTAGCAAGATCTATGCACATAACAGGATCATCAGCTGGGCAAGAAGGATCTTGGTGTAAAGAATTGCTTACTACAATTATGGCTAATACACCTCACAATTGGGCTCAGCATACTTTACAATGTTTTCCATCTGCACTTGCAGATTTTTTCGTTCACAATCCAGTTAATAAAGAAAATAAACAGCAGCTTAAGGCAAGTTCAATCTAAGTTATTTCTATTAATTAAAAATTGTATATATTGTTTGTTTTTAGAAAGCTGTTGAAGAAGAGTACCGAAATTGGGCTTCAATGACCAATGAAAATGATATAATTGCTCATTTTTCAGTTCCTACAGCTCATCCGTTGTTTTTGTGTTTGTTATGGAAAATGATCTTGGAAACTGATAGAATCAACCCTATTGCTTATAAGTTAGTAAAATGAATAGTAAATTTAAATTGTGTAGTACTTTATGCAAAAATTAACCTTATTATTATACTGATTTTTTTCCTTGGCACATTTGGGCTAACAAGTTATCTTACATATTATAACATAATATTTATCATCATACTTCCAATCATTATGATACAGTGTTGCTCTCAGACACACATGACGTTATCAACCTAAATAGAACTGCTGCAAGATCTAAGTCATAAGTGTGCGGTGGCTTAGTAGTAAGGTTCGTCTCTAAGATACCCTGACTAGCGGGTTCTAATTCTGTTCCATGCTCCTTTTTTCACACAATTTTTCGTATACTTTTGATTACCAGGCGTCAATTATCTACATGGGGCTCGAATCCACAACCACAAGATAAAGAATCTCGTATTCTACTGACTGAGCTAGCCGGGCTCTAATGAATTTTCATTGTATTAAACTATTTATAGTTTTATCAAAAGGTTGTTTCTTCATTCATTAAAAAAAAAATATTAACTAATAGTTATTAGTACTTAAAAAAATTAGTTTAATTATTAAAATCTCTAACAATTAATCCATATTTGTGTCTTATATATGTTGAATGAGTTTTAATTTGTTGATCAATGAAACAAAAAATAAAAATAAATGAGTACTTATAATATGATTACTAATTTATAGCTAATACAATAATGTATTATAGAATACATTATTTTTTAACATATTTTACTGGACCTAACACACAGATAAACTATGCTAATATATAGTAAAGACAAAAGTACTACAATGTAGGTTATATGTAGAAAAGTGATAATAGAGAAAAAAGGAGTTGAGTAATTCATTGAATTACTTAAGATTAGTGCACTTATAAACAATTATTAATTATACAATTTATCTTTTAAATATCTCATTAAAATATGTTTATCTATCCTAAAAGATACACAATATATAAATATAACCATTTATATTCAAACTGGTTATTTTTATTGTTTTTATCAATTAGTTTCTTCTATTTTATATTATTTATTTGTATATTGATTATTGTAAATATAAGATATTTTGTATAATATAAATAGTGCCTTTTAATAACCCACATGGTAGGTAGCACATTTTTTAAATAAAAGTTGTTTCTCTTCAATAATTTAACTTATTTGTTTATAGGATTTTAGAAAGAATTGGTGCTAGAGCTCTATCAGCGCATCTCCGTAAATTTTGTGACTATTTAGTATTTAAATTTGCTGTCTCAGAGGAAGGACAACATGTCAATAAATGTGTTGATGCTATTAATAGCATGATATGGAAATATAATATAGTGACAATTGATCGACTTGTACTTTGTTTGGTAAGAAAAATTTCAAAAATCTCTTTAAATAATAAAAAAATTTTCAATTTTGTAAGTTATAAATCTTTATTTTCAATAAATTTTGGTTAAAAATAAGTATCTTTTATGAAAAAAAATTAATTTTAAAGTTTTTATAGCAAAGTAATTAAATAAAAATAATCTGAATTACTTAAAAGATTTAAAGGTACTTTAGTAATTATGTATTAATAAGAATAAAAATAGTTTTTAAAAATCTGTCCAAATTTTTTAATTATAAGTTAGTTATGTTTTTAAGCTTATGATTTCATCATTTTTATTTCTACATATATGATATTATTGATTAGGAGTAAATCTGTTTACCAAAAAAAATTCTTAAAAAACTCCTCTTGTCTTCAAGTATTAAAAATTAAGACAGACAAATTTTTATTTAATTTTAAAACTATTGATAACTTAAATTATGTATTTTTTTTAAATATATTTAAGGCACTTCGTACACAAGAAGGAAGTGAAGCTCAAGTTTGTTTTTTTATTATTCAATTGTTGTTATTTAAAGGTGCCGAGTTTAGAGCTCGTGTACAAGAATTTGTTAAAGAAAATTCTCCAGAGCACTGGAAACAATCAAATTGGTAACTAATGTAATTTATAATTTTATTTATTTATAAACTTTTTCTTTTTATATTTTTTATATAGGCACGAAAAACATTTAGCTTTTCATAGAAAATATCCAGAGAAATTTGCTCCAGAAGGTATTTTAGAACCTGCATCCTATCAACCATTGCCTGTATATTTTGGCAATGTATGCCTCAGATTTTTACCGGTAAAATTATAAAGAAAATTTTTTTTTTTTGTTAAGTATTTTGTAAAAAAACTTAATTATTTTTTAACTTTAGGTATTTGATATTGTTATTCATAGATATCTTGAACTTCCTCCAGTTACAAAATCTTTAGAAACACTTCTGGACCATTTAGGTTGTTTATATAAATTTCATGGTAAATAATAATTACTCAATATTATCATACATAAATTTTCATTTTATACAAAAATAAAGAATCATTGAATTTTTAATATAGATCGTCCAGTTACATATTTATATAATACATTGCATTACTATGAATCCAAATTACGTGATCGACCATCCTTAAAAAGAAGATTGGTGTGCGCTGTACTTGGTTCTATGTGTGAAACTCGTTGTTGTTGGACATTATCTGAATCTTATCAGAGATATATGCAACCTTCATCAACATCCACAAATAATGCTACAACAGGCTCTAATATAGATATTTCAGTTACTCCTCCAAATCCTATTTGGTCCCCTGATCTGGAGTATTATGTTATATTAATTAAAAGAATTACTGATAGTATCCTTTCTTAAACATTGGAATATTTTATCACTATACAATATGATAATGATAATAAGATAATTCTTATGAAGTATTATCTAAAAGAAATACAGTATTGAATTTTTTCAATGATGAGTGAAAGAAGTAAAATAATATTTTTTTTTAGAATAGTAAAAAAAAATAACTTTTTATAATTTCTTATGAAAAAAAAACTATTGAGAAAATATTGTGTTAATAAAAAATAAAACAAAACCAAGTTTAGAATATATAGGTATTTATAATAAAATAAAACTATATATTTCTAAAAGGTTTAAGAGCAAATGATGGCTTTTATAAAACTTTCATAATTTTTATACATATATATTTTTATATATTTTCATAAGTTTTGTAAATTTAAAAAAATTAAAACTGTAAAACAAGTTCTTTAGTTTTTTTAATCTAGTTCTCTACTCAGCAAAAAAAAAAAAATTTAATTAATGAATTTAAAAAACACATTTTCCTAAAGTATTATTTTATAGCTATAAATGGTAATGTAAAATTCCCCAATATAGACTGGAGGTTCAACGAATTTCCTAACCCAGCTGTATATGCTCTTTATATGACTTCTGTGGAACTTATGGCTTTGCCATTAACTCCTTTTTCTGTAGCTAATTCTCTAATTGATGTTGTGATGAAAAGGTAATATTAATTTGTTTTATAATGTAATTAATAATATCATTGTTTATTTTAATTAATTCTAGGTATACAGAAATTCCTTCCAAAGAAATTCATCATTGGATTAACAGTTTTGGATTAATTATGTCAGCTTTGCCAGAACCATTTTGGTTAACCCTGCAAGACCGTATTCTAGACATGTTGCAAAGTCCTTGCTTAGGTTCATGGAAATACATTCATACACCTTTCCAGTTATTCAATTTTGATCTTACTCATGGTTGTATGTTAGATAATCGATTCTCATATATGTTAGCATTAGCTCATGCAACTTGGCATCATGCAGGTGTTGGACATATAACTTCTTTTCAACAGTGAGTTTTTATTTAAAAAAAATAGACTGAAGATTTACTTAATATTTCTTTTGAAATTATTTTATAACTCCTAATAAATAAAATATTTTTAAATTTGATTAATATAATTTAATCAAACAAAGTATAATAGACTTCTAATTAGTATACAAATAGTTTCTGAACAAAAATATTGATAACAGTGTGCTTCTATGTCAACATTTGCATTTTACTTTACATCATACATTATATTTACACAACCTCTTTTTTATTACTATTATTAATGACAATTCATAATGACAAATATTATCAGCTATTGCAACTATTGCAATAACATTATTGATAGTGTTAAGATAGAGTCAATACTATCATGTAAAAATTTCATGTTTACCTTCCATTGGAATTTTTTCTATCTTATAATAACAGAAATATAGTGTTTACAATTAGAAACAAGGAAATTAAAATTTGTATGCAAAGACATTGAATGTGAGCTTTTTGAGCTTCTCTCTTTTAAATCACTCAAAATGAATTTAAAAAATGATATGCTAATTATAAATAAAGATCTTAATAACATTAAACAAAATTAAACCATAAACATTATCATAAATATTTCAATAAAAGACATATAATCGTTGAAATTCAACAAAGACACAAGAGCCAAGAACTTCATTGCGTATAATGTACTAAAATCTTATAGTACAGATATTAAAGATAGAATTACTCATGATATTAAATAAATTATGGTTAAAATTAAAGAGTACTTTAACTTACATTTTGATTCCTTAAAACGCATAAGAATTGGTAAACAAACACATGAAAAATTAGGTTTCTCAAAGTATTTCATCGCATTGAATAAGATGTCATTAATATAGTTAAAATTACAAAAAACATGAGTAATCGAAATGAAATATATTTTTTAAATGATATGACGAAAAATCAGCAACAGCAACTTTCAATTCTTCGAAATGAAATTAAAACTAGATATAATGCTGGAAAATTAGATATAATAACAAAGTATGTTAATAAAATACCTAAGATTAATAAAAAATTAAAAATGATTATCATCATCAGTATATAACTATATCTTCATTATATTATCGAAACGTAAGAGGTCTCTTGAATCATATATACATATATAAGAGGTCATATATTCTGATTTGAGCAAAGCTTATGATCAAGTAAAACATAAGAAACCAATTCTGAAATTGGTAACTGTAAGTCTTGTTATTATATCCAAATATAATATTAATATATAATATATAATCAGATATTATTATTAAATGGCTTAATTTATACCTCTGTAATAGAGTACAATTTGTATAAATCTACAACACGTTATCCAAACCAATTTAAGTGACATAGAGATGCCCTCTAGGTGGTGGACTCATGACAGCAGATTTATTTGTTATATACATTAACGACTATGTACTAAATGATTGTGCCATTGTGTTGTACTGTATCTAGATGATATAAACCTTATAAAAATCAGGAGACTGTTTTAGTTTACAAGATAACATTAACCAATTTCGAATTGGAAGATATGAAGATAAAGGCAGTAAAATCATTTTTAGCAGAAAAAAACACTATATACAATTCAATTATCAACTTTATAATATCAATAGTAAAACGATTAAAGACACAAATACAATCAAAATCCTTGTTGTCATATTAGACAGCAGATTATATTTCAAAAAACATAGATTACATAATTAGGATATCAAATTTTTAAAAAGACTTCAATGCGTGTCAACAAATATTTTGTATACCGCATTAATTTGTTCCCATCTTGAATATCCCAACGTAATTCAGAATCCAGTATTTAACACAGACATTAATAAATTAGAAACAGTCCAAAATCAATTTTTAAATACTTAAGCTTTAAATTTAACTCTTTTAATGGGAAAACTAATACCAATTATTTTATATCCTTAAATAAATAGCATAAATAATATAAATAGCATAATAGATACATCAAATATACATAAAGACTTTTATTTCTATGTAGCGACCAAAAATACAAGTCTCCAACAAATTTTATACATTCCTTTATCGAAAACAAATAAAATATAACATTAAATAGTCAAACGAATCTCTTCTACCGTCAATCAAATATCAAATAGCATGGATATATTCAATTTACCTCTACCAAAATTTAAAAATAAAATATTATTATTAAATATTAACATAAATACCTAAAATAACAGTGAATTTTACATAATTAATACCTTTATCTTTTATTATTATCATTATTATTACTTACTAGATTTTATTAAAATGTTTGCATACTATTCAATCTAGGTTTGTCAAAGAAAAATTAGTTCCAACAGTCTACAGTGAAGAACAGTTTATATTTTTATGTCATTTATTTGCTCCATTTTTATCACGTTACAATTTAGAAAAACCATATCCCTCTATTTTGGATATTATAGTACAGTTATTTAACGCTCTGGAAAGAGTTGACAAGCATGTTCAAAAGCTTAATTACATGGATTCAATCTGCGATTTATTGTAAGTTATTTGTGAAAATGAATTTTTTTGAAACAATTATTCATTTATCATTAATTAAAAATGACTTATTCTTTTACAATATTTTTTAAAATACAGATATTGTGTGGTTTCTGCAATATTTTATCAGAGTATTAGAAAAATGTATATCCCAATATAGATTATTTTCAATAACATATCACATGTCTTGAAAAATGTTATCCACATGCACAATACTTTATATAATACTATAAAATATTGACTTTTTCAATATTGTGATAAATTATGCTGATTTTTAATAAAAAGTTATTAAAATTATTTATTTTGTTATTAATATATTTTAGGTACCATATTAAATATCAATATGTTGGTGATCTAATGAAAACTGAGGTTGAGGGTATTGTACGTCGACTACGACTAGCACTACAAAAGAGACTTCGTTTTATAACACATTTGAGCTTAGCAGAAGTAGAAGCTTTAAATAAGGCAAATGAAACAGATTCTATTATTCTTACTAACGGATCAAATGGTATTATACCTCAAAACCAAGTTACAAATGTAATTTGTGCTCCCTAATTAATTCTGATATATATAATATATTTATTTTAAATTAATACATATTAATGTACTTATAAATATTATTTTATATCAAGAATTAAGTATATATCTATTTTAAACTCAATAAATAAATCAATTTATAAAAACCAAAATGTAGTGTTTTTGTATAAGACAATATTAAAACTTAATTAATAAATAAAATTGAATGGAACCAATTAATATTTTGTAATTAGAGTGAGCCTAGTTAATTTATATAGTAAATATATTTTATACATAAATTATTTAAATGATTTTCCTGTACCTATTATTAGCTTCGATGCGAAGCTGAGAAGGTATTGGTTTTACTATGATGTGTTTTTTTTTTTTTTTTTT